GCGCCACCATGAGGTTGTCTTTTTTTTGTTCTTTATTGCAATATCCCATGCACCAACTTTTGGATGGTTTGAAATTTGGTTCACCACATTCATGGTTCCCGGTGGTCCTCTGAGTTTTCTCCTTTTAGCCTACCATCATCTGGTCAACATTTTATTTTATTTAATATTTGGTTTATGGCAGACGCTTTTATTCAAAGCGACTTACATTTAAGGAACAACAAACGAGCATCAATAAAGTAAGCAATACGTGCAAAAGACATGGATGTAAACCGATTTCACTCTGGGGCGTTTGCTGAAATGACGATGCTGCTGTTCTTCTTGGAAGCACAGTCTCAGACATGTTCCAGGATGAAATATAATTCAGAGGTGATCCTGTACATTTTACATTTATTCAATGAGCTGACGCTTTTATCCAAAGCGACTTACTTTCCACTGTCAGAGGTCGCACGCCTCTGGAGAAACTAGGGGTTGAGTGTCTTGATCAGGGACACATTGGTGGATGGGTGACAGTGGGGGGGGATTGAACCCGGGTCTCTCACACCAAAGGCAGGCATCTTATCCTTTGCCACCCTGTAGTGTCAACATCAGGTCAAAATGTTTTATTTGTCTCTAATTCTACAAACACAGGATTGAATACTTTGGTTAATGACTCCATTCCCATCATCCTCAGCTGTACTGTACCGTGTTTTGTGCTAATTAGCAAATGTTAGCATGCCGACACACTAAACCAACACAATGAACGTGGTAAACATTATACCTGTAAAACACTCCAGGATTATCTATGTGAGGATGTCAGCATGCTGGTGTTTTTCCTGCATGCAGCTTTACGCCTGAATAATCTTTTCTTTACTTGAAGACATTACATGGCATTGAAGGGCATGTCTTAGATTTCTAAACATTGGTTTTAATAACAGAATTGGACGTGAGCTGCAACGATTAGTCAATTTATCGATTAGTTGTCAACTATTAAATATAGAAACAAACAGCAAAATGTTTCTGTTTCCAGCTTCTTAAATGTGAATATTTTCTGGTTTATTTCCTCTTATATATGACAGTAAATTGAATATCTTTCGGTTGTGGACAAAACAAGACATTTGCGGATGTTATTTAGGGCTTTGGGCAACACTGATTGGACTGACTGATTGGGATACGCATTGCTGCTCAGCCTGACAGTTTGGTGTGGTAGTAACTTGTCAATCAGCTTGTAGCCCCGCCCTAAAGCCTCCCCTGCTTCCTGGTCTCTGTTCCTCTAAATGGGACCATGATTTACTAAATGAACATCATGCTGTGTTGAAGAAGACTTGAAACTAGCGACTGAGATCAGAAACTCATCAGGAAAGTGTTTACTGAGGGAATAAATCAGCTGACAAGTAGAAACATTGTCTCATAGACTTCTATGCAATCACTCTTCCTTCTGCAGCTGGTGGAGTTGCCCCCTGCTGGCCGTTAGAAAGAATTCAGGGTTAAGGCTGTTCAGCACTGGCTTCACTTTTCATGGTTGAGTCAGGTTGCCCCTTGGTTTGGAGGGGAGCTCTTCACAAAATGTTTTACCGTTTCTAAACGTGTTCATGTTTGAGATCAGGATCAGCATCTGAGCATCGACTGGTGGGTGATAACTGCTTGTAAACTCTCCTTCCTGACCCCGTCTGTGAGCTCAAGTCACTGTAACACAAAGCAAAGCAGTTAATAGAAAACATATTGGCAAAAATGTATATGTGCACACAGTGTCAAACTGATTTAATTAATTGCCTTATTTTGTTGCAGAACAATAAAAGAAAAGAAAAAACAAGTACTGCAAAAATTAAGAATTCACAGAAAATAGAAACATTTAAAAGAAAAAAATACAGTATATTTTAGACTACTGAAAGTAGTAGATGTAGATAAATGTAATAAAAACAATTTAAAATACAGCATTTATCGAACTATTTAAAAAAATACATTTATGTTTAATATGACTGTGACTTTAATATTAATGTGACTCCATCAGAGAAAAAATGGACGACTTGACCCTTTTGAAACATCACCTTGTCTTTCGCTGACCTCCTGTCAGCACGTGGGTGTGTGAACCTCCAACAACTGGTTTTATTTCTTGGAACGAGCCTTCACACAGCAACATCACGTCTGTGATCGAACATTTCCAGGCAGCAGTAAAAACTCTGGAGGACAAGATGACCTCCAAAAATCTGTGAGTCGTCTTGGCCTGAATACTTTGTTTTATGAACTGCTGCGATTTATTTTTTTACTGTGTTTATTCATAAAAACATCTTTATGCTCGGTAAATCACCGCAGGAGTGACACATTAACACCAAGCATTGATGAGATGATGCTTTAGTGTCAGCTGTGTTGTGTCTGCTGAAGCTGGACGTCGCACTTTCTAACAGCACGCAGCTCAAATTCTCACAGTTTCTCATTTATAACACCCGACGCCGACTCGCCTTTATTAGGAACAAATGTTCTTGTATTTACAGCCGTGAATAAATCACTTTGTGTTTGAAAAGGCTCGCCTGGCCCTCGCCCGCTCCAGCTTCGCTAAAAACTGCTGAGACAGTCAGGAGAGCAGGTCCAAGTGGGTTTTTTTGTGTGAAAACAATGAATAAAGAGAAAATTTGTGAGCGCCCACACCCATTCATTTACATAGCTGAATCAATGCCACAAAATCTGACTCACATTTACAGGCCGACTGCTGACAATACTAAACTTTATCAATGATCATATATTCATCCTCCTGGGCTCTTTTTGTTTGCACTGATTAAGACTCTCACCCAATCAAGCACAACTCTTTTATGGCACATGCAGAATTACCTCTCAGACTTTGGACATATACACAATGACACCATATTCTGCTTTAATTGTATATTTTATACTTACTTTTATTGTTTTTTATTGTTTCTTTTACTCTTTACGCTACATTCACCTGTGCTGCTGTGCCAATGTGAATTTCCCCTACAGGAATCAATAAAGGGAACATCTTAGTTCCCTTTATTGATTCCTAATATTTAACACTTTAAACTCAAATATTTGCCTTTAGCAGATCCTTAAAATGTGTCTTTTATTCATTTGTTTGAGGCCTGAAACGTTTTTGTTGTTGTCTTGAATAGAAAGAATAATGTTTGTTTGAATAATTTGAATCAAAGTTGTTCCTGGAAACAGAAGTTTTGTCACAGTTGGTCCACGGTCCTACTAAACCTAACAAGTTTGACAAAAAGAAAAAGGGAGCAAACCCTGTCCACTGAGGAAGACCACGAGAAGAGCGAGCGTCCTCCTGTTCTTCTTCTCTTAACGTCAGCATCACGGGACACTTTCTGCTTTGGAGTGCAGATTGTTATTCTTATTCAAGCTCATTATTGTCACCGTGAACTTATTGTCCTGTTTTCCAGCGCTCACCTACACTACGGGGTTACACTTTCTTTCTGAGCACCTTTTTCCTTCTTATGTTTGACATGAAACAGTTTCATTCCCTCACTATGCGGTTTTCACAGCTTTAAAGGTTGTTTAAACTCTTCTTCTTCTACAATGGCTGGCAGTCTGTTTTGTGTGATCTTGTAGAAGCTCTTTGTTAAAGCTGCATGATGTTTACATTAAGGGAATTATTCAAACTCAAGACACGATTGTTTTGGCTGCATCGTTCCACTAAATGGAAATATTCTGCATGTCTTGTGTCTCATTTCACGCACATTTACCCAAAATCACATATTTGGTATCTTTGGAAACGTTTTTTAAATTAAAAATATACAAACTATATTTGGCATCACCGCATGATTTTATAATGACTGACAGGTGAAGAATTTTCACGCTTTTGGACATTTTCAGTATTTTACAAAACGTCTGACTGGCTGTCTTGATTTGAAATTAAACATTTCTAACCAGTCTCTGCTATTAAAAATACATTTAGAGGATTGTGCCTCCATTGGATGTCATTTTGCATTTAAAACCAACTTAATTTGATTTAAAATAATTTCCCCAAACTTCAGCCTAACATTAGGAGTGCGAATTTAACTCATGAGGCCCTCTACAGGAAAAAGGACAGCTGGCTTGTCTTCGGAGGCTCAAACGTTATCAAACAGGGCAAGCGGGTGAGGAAGGCCAGCTCAGCGGTGGGGATGTGACTGGACAGTGTAGAGACAGTGGCTGAGAGGAAGATGAGAATGAAGCTGAAAGCCATCATGGACGACCTTTCTCATGCTCTCTATGCTGAGCTGCAGCTCAGGAGCTCCTTCAGCCGCAGACTCATCCAGCCCTGAGCCTCAAAGTGCTTCGGACAATCAGCCATCAGACGCCACAGCACCCAACATCTCCCATCTCCACTGACAGACTTTATTATATTTGACTGTATTATGATTGTACATACTTAAAATGATAACATGCTAACTGAATCCACAGTACTTTTATTATATTTTGTTCTTCTTTCTTTACATTCCTCTGTGCCAACTTGAATTTCCCCTACAGGGGATTAATAAAGTTATATCTTATCTTCTTTGGTATCTTAGGAAACTTTGGAATCTCTTCTGGAATTTAAAATAAGCTTCTGTGGGTTTAAACTATATTTGGTGGCACAGCATGATTTTGTAATGCCTGACTCATCGGCAGGTCAAGTAAGTTTATAAATCTGACATCTTGATCCAAAAACGAAACATTTTCTAACCAGTCCTCTGATTTAGAGGATTGTGCAGCCTTGAGTGTTTGTTCGGCTGCACCGCTGGATTGAATTTTTTATTTAAAACAAACATTATTTGATTTAAAATCATTTCCCCAAACTCCATCTTGACATATTTGACTCTTTGGGACCTCCACTAGAATTAAAAGTTAAGGTTTGTTCCTCTGAGACATAGAAAACAACCCGCTAAACCAAAGTAAACCTATAACACTAACTAAACTAATCCAAACCTCATCAAACCAACACAAGCTGAGCCAAGCCAAGCCCCTGGCTGTGAGCAGGAGGAGGAGTGGTCAGGCTGCTGGACTGGCCGACTGTGCAGCTGTTGGGGTTTGTTAAAGCCTCAGTCAGTCCGTTGGTTCAGCTGCTAACACAGACTGAGAGCACAGGTTAAATATAGAGCAGACTCTAAGAGGCTGAACATCTCCTGTGGCCCGAGAGAAGAACTGATTTTATTTAAGCTGGAAGAAGGAATCAGTTCTAACTCTTCTTCTTCTTCTCTCTCGCCCTGTGAGCTCGCAGACCAAACTTGGAGAGGACGAAGCGTCGCGGCTCTCTCTGTTCACTGTGCCTCCAACTGAGGCTGAGAAGAAGAAACCAAAGAAGAACAGTGAAGGAAGATAATGACAGTGATGTTGTGAGTGCTGTCAGTGAACTCATCACGGGGGACTCAGATCATTTTGGGACTGAACAGCTGGGAGCGCTGAGACCAGGTAAGACAAAGTGAGTTTGATGTCATCACTAACAGGTGTCTGTTTTCTCTGCGGTCTTAAATTCAAATTTCCCTTGTAGATATGTGAGACTTATGTAGTTTTTACAGAATTAGTTTTTATTATTTGAGCATAAAAGTCTTTACTTGACCCTGGAAACAGAAGTTTGACAGAAAAATAATAGAACTTTATATCAGTTTAATCAAGTTATAAGAACCCATCATCCTAACGCTGACTTTGACAAATGTTTCTAAAAAGTTTGGACTTTAGTTGATAGAAAAACAAACTATTGAATAAAAAAACTAAAAGTTCGAATACATTCGATCAACAATGCATACATGAAAGTAAAATGCCTCTCAAACTGTTTAAATATCATATTAAATAAATCAATTTGACCGCACTTATTTATTTAAGTTCTGAGGTGATTTATCTTTTTCTTTTAAAATTATGTTAATGACAGTAATTTTAATAAATTAAAGTGAAAATACTAAATATGATCTGATAACAATTTTTGTTTCATAGTTTTTTTTTTTTTTTGATTAAATACTTTTGGCTTTCTGGACTTTGGTCAGAAAAAGTATTGCAAGCATTGGAAGAATCAGTACTGATATGCAGACAGAATGACCCTTTTCAGCATTAAAGTATGATATATTATATGACATTATTTGGCTGTGGAGCTCATGTTGAGCTGCATATATTGTTGGGTAGTTTAATTTACTTAATATAGTTTTTAAAAATAGTAATCTGTCATATAAATATAGCGGAGGAAACAAATGCTGTGGCATAAAAACAGCACTAGTTATGTTTCACCACTGGGACACAGTGAACTTGTCTGTTTCTGTATTTATTTATGTTGCTTGGTGATTCGCCCTGAGGTATATTTTTGTGAAACATACTTAATAAACTTGGATTTAATATGACGTGACAAAACAATTAGTTGTCACAAAACCCTCCCCAGACCTCAGGCAACACGAGTTCAACATGTGGCAATTAATTTGTATTAATTTGATTAATCGTGTACAGGGCCCCCAAGTTAAAGTCTCGTTTGCAGGACTTTTAAGCACTGAAGTTTATTTTTATTATTTTACTCTACATGATACATATTCCTCTGTAAATAAATTGTGCAAACTAACTACTGTGTGGTCAATAGAGCCCAACAGATCTGGTCTTGGTCACTGTCATTATTATCATAAATACATGTCTATTTAAAATGTCATTTTTCTTCTTATCTCACTAAATTGACCGCTAAATTCGGAGAAGGAAAAACTTTTAACAAGGAAGGAAAAGGGACAAACCTCAGGAAGAGCCACAGATGATCCAGGAACAGAGTAGACAGCAGCAGAGTTACAATATGGAGAAACAGAATGACTATTTTCAGTAAATTCAACATAATATTAAGTAAATCTGAAGTGAAATACGTTGTAATAAAGTAGTTAGGAGTTACTGGAATGAAGTTGAGTCATGAATGGAGCGGCTGTGAATCAGTGAGTTATTACCCCCCCCACTCACAGCACAGTAAGTGCTTGTTACAGGAAGCCATACATTAGAAGGCATTAATTTAATAGATCTTTTACCAGAGTACTTAAGCTCTGCTCCCTGGGGGACGAGCTGCACTTACTGATGTGTGGCTGCAGAATTTAAAAACAGAGAGGAGCTTAAAAAACAGAAGCAACATATACAGCTCCATGCAAAGTAACGGCGACTTCTTTAAAGCCACACTGCTGGTGACAATGTCAGCCTGTCTGTCAGTCCACATCCTTCGTCCAGACTGAAATATCCCAACAACTACTGGATGGATTGATCTGAAATTATGTACAGATATTTATGGCACAAGAGGGAGGCATTCTGGATTTTGCACATGAGGAAAAAGACAAACACATTTCTGTCTTTTAGATTAGAATTGTTCACCGTAAACAGGATTTCTTTGTTTAGTTTAGTTTCTGGATGTTTTAACTTCAAATGTAGATGATGATTAACATTCAACCTTTTTACTTACTGTGAAAGGTGAAAGGTTGATTTATACTAGATAAACCAAGAGCAATTTTTGAAGAGAAAGGCAACTGTAAAATAATTTATCAATCACATGATGTGTTGCATATAAGGAACCTGAAATAGCCTCAGGTAGCAGGTGAATAAAGCTGAGTGGTGTAAAAATTGTGCAGCGTGTGTCCCCAGAGGATGAATCCTACAGACTTTCATCCAGCGGCAACATCTAGATGACATTTTAGGTTGTCTTCAAAATGATTTGATGTTTGGCTCCAACAAGTCCTCCAAATTAAATGACAAAATACCAACTTAGCTGACTGATCTAATCAAATGTCTTTGCTTTCAAAAACCTTTCCAAACCACTTTTGAAAATAAATCCAGCTTATGATGTGACAAAGTTAAACCTTAAAAGTGCTTCTTTTTGCCACCGACAGGCTCAGACTGTTATACCAGGTGCCTGACAGCATCACGGAAAGGATCCCAGTGGCCTCTGGTCTCAAAGTCTGGCGTTTTGTTGACCTATCAATCCACCCCGACCTCTTTACTTGAACATATAGATCTGTCATTGTTGGGCATTTGTTGAAACCCTTCTGATGCTGCTGTTTTTCTTGGGAGGAGAGTTTTCTCGGGTTTAGTAACAAAAAGGAAGATCATGTAAAATATTCAAAGCAAAGAGATTAGCACTCATTTTCCACAAGTTAGTCTTTGTGTTCCATGTTAGACCTTTAGTGAATTATCTCGGGACAGTCAGGACAGTCTGTTACCCTCCAGGCGACAGGCTGGGCCTGCACTTCTAGTAAAACGTGGAAAATGTGCCCCATCTGATCTATGTTGAATCCACACAATAAAGAGTGGGGCTCTTTGGCTCGACCTCCTCTGTGTTATCCTACCCAGCATGCTTTGCCCTGCCCAGATCTCATGGGACCTTTCTCTCCATTAATAGCTTTTTCCCGCACTGTTTTCATTGCAAGTTCTTTTGAACCATTTTTTTTCTGACTCAGATATGTGGAATGGACAGCACCAATCATTCATTTTCATTTCATTTACAGAGATATTACATTTTTTATTTGGAGTTGGCCAAATACAAAAGCTGGCCTGTCTGTCGGCAGGATATATCAAGCTGAAATTTATCAATATGTTTCTGTAAAGTTTGATGAAAACAAGGGGCCGATGATTAGGTTTTGGTGATGATCCAGATCTGGGAATTCAACCAATTGTTACGCATCATTAAGGGAAGCTGCTGAAATGGTCAAAATATAAATTTTACTTAAAGTATAAACAGAAACACACTTTATCATGCATGGATAGTTGTTTAATCGGCTTATTCAACACTTTAGCCTGAAGAAAGTTATCTCTCAGATGCTGGTATTTATATAACCAGAGAAAGTTTTCTTTCCTTTGGTGACCCCCTGACATTTTGTTTCATTCGTAGGCCATCTGTCTCTTCAGGACACATCCATAATCTTTACCCCACCCAAGTGTAACTACGTCAGTAACTACGCCCTCTGTGGAGGAAACTACTCACAGGGTCTTCAGCCCTGTGGTAATGGATGAGTGACACTGCTGTTGAGACTGTAAAGACGTGAATAACGTTAGTCTCGCTCGTTGATAGATTTGACTAAATCATTAACAGTGTTAGTTGATGGATAGTTAAACCACGACGTCACCCATTGGTTTGTTTTTCGAAGCCTGAAGTTTGGCTATTTAGGCCGTCGCCATCTTGTTTTTTTGGAACCAGAAGTGACCATATTTGGACCAGAGGGTGGAGCTGGGGAGGGACAATTATTTTTATGCCTGACAGGTCGCTTTGGTACGTGACGTGTCAATCAGCTTGTAGCCCCGCCCTAAAGCCTCCCCTGCTTCCTGGTCTCTGTTCCTCTAAATGGGACCATAATTTACTAAATGAACATCACGCTGTGTTGAAGAAGACTTGAAACTAGCGACTGAGACCATAAACTCATCAGGAAAGTGTTTACTGAGGGAATAAATCTGCTGAGAAGTAGAAACATTTGCTCATAGACTTCTATATATGCAGCCAGTGGAGTCGCCCCCTGCTGGTCATTACAAAGATTGCAGGTTTAAGGCTCTCGTCAGACCCAGAGGCTATGTCCAATTCTTTTCTTGCAGGTTGAGCAGGAAAACCAAGATGAATGCAGTCAGATTTGTGATCTGCATACATGTGGCTGTGTGAAGTGTATTAAATCTTAGCTGGATGAGACACTTGAAATGACACGTGATGCGTGTTCAGACCCACGCAGGCCCTTTGGGTCGACCCTCTAATGGTCTCGATGGTTAACCTGAAGAATAAAAATGATGGAACCAGAATGGAAAGAAAAAGCATTTATGCTGGTCAAACGAAAACTAAAAAGTCGTCCTACCACGAGCCTCCAGAAGGGCTTGAGTGCTCCTTGTCTTATTTCTCCAAGTTTCTGAAGTCTAATAGGGGAATGAACTGAAATATTTCCCAAAAATATTCCCATATTTGGTGATTTGATGAATGCCGTCTAACATGTTGCTTCATTATCTCCCACAGGGGTTCAGTTGGGTTGAGATCTGATAACTGCCATATTTAGTCATATTAAGAAGTGTTAGATTATGAGATACATCTGAGGCATTCAGGAAGCATTTTCTCCGCTTTGACCTTCATCTCGACATCATCACGACCTCTGTCAGTTTCCTGGCAGCGTTCGCCTCGAAGTGAGCTGCTTCAGTTTGTAACAGTGTAACTGTGTCTTCCAGCGGCAGCCCGAGGCCAACTGATAACACGGGAGCCATGAGATCATTCTGCTAATTCAGCTTTATAATCTGTGTGGGAGGTTTGAGGCCCCTCCCCCCGATCAGCGCCGTCTACCCTCTTGTTTGGTTTCGTAACATCGACTGCTTTTCCCGTGACAGCATGACAGGGACCAGAGAGGAGGACTGTGTTTGTTTGCTTACAGTTTTCAGTTCCAAAGAGAGAGTTTCAAACAACTGATAACATCATGATGGATAGCGCTGGAAAAGACGAGATGCTGGAT